AACATGCTTCCCAGCTGGGCATGGTGGCACACTCCTTTAATCCCAGCACTTGGGAGGCAGAGGCAGGTGGATCTGTGTGAATTCGAGGCCAGCCTGACCAGCTGTGACAACAGGGAGACCCTGTCTCAAAAAAAAAACAAAAAAAACCCAAACCAAAACCAAAACAAACCCCCCCCCTGCTTCCCAGATAATGGTAATCTGGGCTATCAATAATGTATGAGTTTGATATTCATCTTGGTTTGTGTACTTGTGTTGGTAACCCTTCCTGTTTTTACACATGGTAGTGAACTGTCCCTTTCTACTTATCTAAAGCTAGGTAGAAATTTGTTCTTCAAAGTCCAATTCCATTGTACTTTTCCAAGAACTATATTCTAATTAATTTAAACTTGATAAAGGCTTATTCATATTTCTGCTTTTTTCTCTTTTTTTCTCTGTATTTCTGAACTGTCCCTGGGTTTTTGCTACTTAAAAGATTATTAGATTCCACCTTATATTTTAACATGCTAAATTGCCCATTCTGTGCTTCTAAACATTGAAGTCTTTGTTTTTTTCATGTCTGTTTTGAGACAGGTCTTCCTATAGCCCCAGCTGGCATGGAACTCTCTATATAGATCAGGCTGGCCTTCAACTCACAGAGATCCACCTGCCTCTGCCTCCCAAGTGCTCCATGACTCCAGTAAACCACTATGTCTGGCTATACTTTGAAATCTTTAACTAAATCTTAGTCATTTTATAGCTCCATAGTATGCAGTGTGCTTAGGGTGTACAGACTAAGAGTGCCACCTCTGAAGTCAGACAAGTGATTGACAAGTTATTTGTAGTTTTCAAACTTAAAGGAATTTAAATAGAATACCATTAAGAGTCTCAAGACTTTTGTAAGAATTAAATAAAATTTGCCTGACAATGGTAATTACTACTATCTCAAGTAAATGTTTATGGAATGAGCAAACTGATGGTTAAATAATCTACTTGGGAAAAGTCTGGCCTTAAAAATTTTAAAGTAATTTCAAAAGTTTTACATTTATTTATTGTGTGTGTTGGAGGGGTTAAGGAGGGAATGCCATGTGTGTATTGGTTCTCACCTTCCACTATGTGGGTTCTGGGATCTGAACTCAGGTCTCCAGGCTTGGCAGTAAGTACCTTTACCTACTGAGCCATCTTCCCAATCCCCTCAATATTGTTTTTTTCTTGAGGTATAGTCTTTCTATATATTCCAAGCTAGCTTCAAACTTGCCATCTTTTAGCTCCAACTTCCTTTGTGCTGATATTATAGATGTATACCATTAAGCCCAGCTGAGTTAAAAACAATTTTTTTGAGATGGTCTTTTTTAATATAAAATATTTTATTTTATTTTATGCGTATGCATATATTGCCTGCATATGAGTAAGTATAACCCATGTCGTGCTGTGCCTGAGGAGGACAGAAGAGGCTGTTGAATCCTCTGGAACTGGAGTTATGGACAGTTGTTAGCTGCCATGTGGGTGTTGGGATTTGAACCTGGGTCTTCTGCAAGAACAGCCACTGTTCTTAACTGATGAGCCATCTCTCCAGCCTCTTGAGATAGAGTCTTATGTGGCCCAGGCTAGCTTCAAATATACCTTGGAGGTGAGGAACACCTTGAATTCCTGATCATCCTGCATGGGATTATGCATACTTTAATTTTTGACTCATATTTGGAAGAGAATAATTAGACTAAAGTGATATTTTAATATAACCTATTTTAGTAATAGATTTTTAAAATTTTTATTTTATTTATTTATTTAATTTAATTTTTATTTTTGGTCTTTTTTGAGACAGGGTCTCCCTGTAGCCTCAGCTGTCCTGGAACTCACTATGTAGACCAGGCTGGCCTTGAACCACAGAGATCCACCTGCCTCTGCCTTCTGAGTGCTGGGACCAAAGGTGTGTGCCACCATGCCCGGCTGGTTTATTTTTATTTTATGTGTATGAATGCTTGCCTGCATGTATGTAAGTGCTCCATGTGTTTTCAATGCCTGCAGAGGCTATTGTAGTAGTTAATTTATGTTTTACTAGTTTTATTCTACCCATAATTCTAAATATGTTAATATACACTATCTTAATTTTTAAATGTGATGCTCAACTACTCTTTCACCTAAATCTATAAAACAAATACTTTTGATAGTCTACCTAAGGCATTCTAATTTATTGAAATTATTTAATGACTTGATTGAATTATCAAAGGCTTACTGAAAGATTAAGTTTTAGGCCAGTGTGATGACTCAGCAGATACAGTTGGTTGCTGTGCAGCCTGGTGACTTGAATTCAGCCCATGAAACTCACATGGTAGAAGACCAGAACCTTCATAAGTTGTCTTCTGACAGCTGTGGTTTATACACATAAGTTCCCCCCCCCACAAATAGATAAATGGAAATAAAGTTAGTTTTTTATATTAGCATTTACTTAGGAAATGCATATAGTAAAACTAATGTTTTATTTTATATATTTTGTTTAAAATTTTTGTTAGATTTATTTTGTGTGTGGTAAGCACAGGTGTATAGCCATCAGAGGACAGGGAGTTGATTCCAGATTATTTCAGCTTTCTAATTTTCTGAATAAACTGGTATATTAGTTGTAATTAATATTTTTAAGTTATATTAAGTTGGGGTGCTGCATACATTATAGTTATCAATATTTAGTATAAAGTTCTTTACAGGATTCTTTATACTTGTATACTTGTACCTTATTAGTACCACCTAGATCAGGATATGGAACACTTCTCATATTTCAGAAGACTTAACTAATATTCTTCCCAGTCAGTTTTCTTTTCTTTATCTATACCCTCCACTATTCTAAGTAGTATCATCATAAATCTGTTTTAACTGTTGTGGAATTTCAGAGTCATACACTCAATGCATCTGGTTTCCTTTGGACATAATGTCTGAGATGTATCCATTTGGTGCTTAGCAGTAATTCTATCTTCTATTGCTATGCAGCTTTATGTTTATGCATATCCTTGTTGATAGATGTTTGGATTATTTCTAGTTTTTGGTTATGAAGAACAAAGATAACCTGAACATTCTTGTTCTTAGTTGTTTATCTAGAAGTAAAATTGTTGGATACTGAGTAGGCAGGTAGATATCTAAGAGACATTGACAAAGCAAACGCACTCTTTTACACTCTTACTAGCAGAGCTTTAGTCTTTCACCAGTATTTGGCAATGTTAATCTTTTTCATTTTACATATTGCAAGGGCTGTGTACTTCATTGTCATTTCCCTAATAGTAATGAAATTGAGCGCTTGTATATATTGAGATGTATTGCATTTACTCCTTTCCCTCCCACTTCTATCCCCACCTGTAGCCCCAGCTGGCCTGGAACTCACTGAGCATGTGCTCTACCATGAGTATATACCTCAGTGCAAGAGGCTCTTTATATACTAGTTATAAGGTCTTTGACAGATAGGTCTGTTATAATTTATGTTCCAGTTTGAGACTTGCTCTTTGCTCTTTTTTTTTTTTTTTTTTTTTTTTTTTTTTTTTTTTTTTTTTTTTTTAAAGGCAGGGACTCCCTGTAGCCCCAGCTGGCCTGGAACTCATTGTGTATACTAGGCTGACCTGACCTTGATCTCACAGAGATCTACCTGCTTCTGCCTCCCAAGTGCTAGGATTAAAGGTGTACACCACCATGTTCAGCACTCTCTACTCTCTTGATAAGTTCTGATGAACAGAATTTCTTAATTTAGATGAAGTCCAGTTTATTTACCTTTTCACTTACGATTATATTTTTGTGTCTTGTTTGAGAAATCTTTGCTTCTCCCAAGGCTACAAAGATATTCTAGTTTTTATTCTAGAAACCTTGTCTTATGTTTGACATTTAAAGGTACGGTTCATTTCAAATTTTTGTGTATGGTATGAGGTATAGGGGTCAAGATTTTTTAAAAATTTGTTTTTTATCAAGTTGCTTTACTGGGACTGGGGAAATGCTTCCTATGCAAGCAGGTGGACTTGAGTTTAAATCTCCTACACCCACATAAAGAGCTCATCTTAGCTGCATGCTTCCTTAACCCCAAAACTGTTATGGGTAGAGACAGGAGAAACATTGGGCCTTGCTGGCTGCCTGTCTAACTCCAGGTTTAATGGGATTCTCTGTCTCAAAGAAATAAGGCAGGGAGTGATAGAGCAGGACACCCCATGTCTTCTCTGGTCTCCCCACATATCCAGGAATGTTTGCACCTGCACATGTGTGCATATATACCACAAACACACACTCAAGTACACATGTACAAAATCACTTCACCATTGTTTATTGAAAAAATCTCCCCCTTTTACTCAATTGTAGTATATTTGTCATAAATAGAAACTGTTTACTTTTATTATGAAATTTATGATATAATTCAGTAGCTATAATTTATAAGAAATCTTGGATTGCATCTTGTTTGCTCAATGTATTATTTATTCTCATTGCTTTAGCATAATGAGAGGCACGTGATGGCCATTCAGTAAATCTTGATGATTGAAAGAAGATTGATTCATAAAAGAAAAATCCACAGGAAGTCTCAAAAAAATGAAATGTTGATTAGTAAAGAGTTAAAATGTTCCCAGTTGCACAGCATGCCTGGGTATGTGGTAGAACTAGAAATGTTAGTGTACAATATTACCAAGTTCTAGGTATCCTCACCTCTGTTCACCATCAGAATTTGCTCAATCATCTGATCTATATCATTGGCTGTGAAGTCCTTTACCAGGAACTTTCTATTTAGTTCTCAGAGCCAACTTTCTTTTTTAAAATTGTTGTCATACATGTAAGTTTACATATAATGTGACATTTTGTGACACTCTGTTATGACACAGGATAAACTTTTTTTTTTTTTTTGATCTTTAGGCTCAGTCTTTCAGGGCCTGTAAAACGTATCAGTGTGCATTCTGAATAAAACAAATTACTCTTAAACAAGGGCTAGATATAAAAGGTTCCTGTTCATAAATTGTTTATGTCATTTAGATATTAAATGATAATTTCTACCATGTCTTTGGTTTTTGTAGAGATTGTCACAGAAGGAAAAAGGAAAAAGTCATCATCATCTGATTTACAGGAGGTATGCATTAGTTTTACTTTTAATGTGTTTATTGTCTTTATTTTATCTTTTTTTGAGACAGTGTCTCACTGTGTAGTACTTGGCTGGCCTGAACTTGTTATGTAGCCCAGGCTACCCTGGAACTCACAGAGATCTGCCTTTGCCTCCCAAGAGCTGGGATTAAAGACATGTGCCACCACACCCGTCATGTTTATTGTCTTTAATGTTACTGATAATGGAAGCATTTTGCTATTTTTATTTTCAGAATAATTAAAAAATACTATGAAACAAACAGTGTTTTAAGAAAATAATATGTTCTTATAACTGAGGGTTAGTGAGGGAATCATTTCTGGCACTTGACTTTTTAAAAATTAATAAAGGTATTCAGTATACTTTCCAGTCCTTATTTAAGATTTCATATATAGACATAACTCAGGGGGGCTGGAGAGATGACTCAGCAGTTAAGAGTACTTGCTTTTCTTCCAGAGGACCAGCACCCAGCACCCATGACAGTAACCTTACAGCTAACTATAATTCTAGTCCCAGGGTACCTGACCACATGTGGTGTATACTCACAGAGAAACACATACACATGAATCAAAATAAATATTAAAAAAAAGACAAAAAAAAACCCAACTCAGTATTTCTTTGACAAATGAACAGCATGCCTCATGGTCATTTATTGGTAGTATAGATTTAAAAGACTTAGATTCCTGGCACGTGCAGAATTGGTAGTAGGAATTTGTCCTCGTTTTTGTTTGCTTACTTGCTTAGGTTTGCTTTGTGCTTTATTTTCCTGAAACGGGGTTTCACGTAGCACAGGTTGGCCTTGAACTCTCTGTGTACCCGAGAATGACCCTGAACTTCTGTCCCTCTCCCAAGTGCTAGGATCACAGGTGTGTGCCACTGTGCCTGGCTTTGGAAGATTCCCTTTTTTTAAAAAAAATAGTTTATTATTTTTATTTTATGTGTATGAGTGTATTGCCTGCATGTATGTGAGTGCACCTGTGTCATGCAATGCCGTGGAGGTCAGAAGAGGGCGTCAGATTCCCCTGGAACTGGAGTTAAGGACAGTTTGTAGCTGCCATGTGGGTGCGAACCCAGGTCCTCTGCAAGAGCAGTCACTCTTAACCGCTGCACCATCTCTCCAGCCCTGGAAAATTCCCTTTAAAACTTTTACTTTTCATTCGTTTATTCTGTATAAGTGAAGACTATCAAAACAAGTAAGTGTAGGCTTCTACTTTAAGTGTTTTTTAAAAAATCGTCCTTTTAAAAAAGATATTTTTTTCTCTAGCATTTTGTGATTTAAAGGTTAAAAACCACCTCATTTACATCATAAGTATTTATTAGATAGATTTCTCTGAAGAATTTGTGCATGGTTACCTTTAATTTGGGCATTTTTTGTGTTATGTAGTTGTAGCACTTAACAAAGGGGAATAAATCACAAAGAAGGGCCATGAGAGGGAAACAACAGCATCCCTGAGACCACACAGAGAACATGGCTTTAGGTGATGTTTTTCATTGGCTTACTTAAGATTTGTAGGGTGTGGTTTCTTAGTTTAAAATGTTGGACTTGGGCCAGGCATCATTGTGCATGCTTTAATCCCAGCCCTTGGAGGCAGAAGCAGGCGAGTCTTTGTGAGTTCAAGGCCAGCTTGGTCTATAGACTATGTTCAAGGCCAGCCAGGGCCACAGGGAGACCTTTTCTCAACAAAGAACTAAAGAAACAAAAGTCAGACTTGGCTTAAGTGGAATGCATTACAGAGGTAATGAAGAAAATTTTACATTTTTAGACCACATACTATCATATCCAGTGATTCAGTTCATTTTTCGAGACTGGTAATTTGTGAAGAAAAGAAGTGTATTTTGTTCATGTTCTGGAGAACCACTGGAATTTGCTCAGCTTCTTGTGAGGGCCTTGCACAGCTTCAGCTCATGAGGGCCTTGCACAGCTCACGGCAGGAAGTGGAAGAGCAAGCAGGCTGAAGACAAGGACCTGATGAAAGGAACTGAGGGGAGAGTTCTAGTATTTCTTTGTAATAACCTGTTCTCTTGAGAACTAATTTAGTTAAACGAATTAACTAGTCTCTTGATAAAGACATCAGTCCATTTGTAAATGTGGAATTTCCATGGGATGATTGCCTCTTAAAGGCTCTAAGCTTTATTGGCCATCAACAAACCACATCCAAACTAGTGCATCCAGTTTTAAATATTTGTATTAAGTACTACTACTTTAAACACTTTCAGTTAAGAGCCGGGCATGGTGGTGCAAGCCTTTAACTCCAGCACTCAGGAGGCAGAGGCAGGTGTATCTCTGTGGGTTCAAGGCCAGCTGGTCTACATAGTGAGTTCCAGGCCAGCTGGCGCTACAAGGGAGATCCTGTCTCAAAAAGAACAACAGCAACAAAAAATTTTAGTTAAGTAAAATGTTTTGCTTTAGACTCTTATGTTCGTCATGCAATTAATCTAAAATTCCACTATTAACATTCATAGCAGTTATGTGTGTTTGCACTAGCAGCTACTCAGGTTACTTCAGCAGGACTTTCTCTCCTTCCCTCCCTCCCTCCCCCTCTTGCTCTCTGGTCTCAGGTAGTCATGGCTAGCTTGGAAGACACTGTGCAGCCCAGGCAGCTCAGGTTGTCCTCCAACAGAAAGTCTGCCTGCCTCTGCTTCCTGAGTTCTGGAATTAAAGGCATGGAATACCACTCCTGGCTTAATTTTTTTATTTTTATTTTTTAGTATTTTATACATGAGTATTGTATTTACATTTTTGCACTCTTCCCCCAGGAGTTTTGAACCCAGAAGTTTGAGACCAGCCTAGGCAGTATAGTAAGACCTTGTCTCACATGAAAGAGATAATTCATAGTATTGAGTTAGAACATTGCTCTCATCCTCTCATCCTTGCCTTCTTTGTACTTTGCCCCCTTTCGTAGTGCTGTGGATTGTACCAGGGTCTGGAAGATGCTGAGGAAGTGCTCTAGCACTAAGCCACACCCCTTGGCTGTACTCTGTTTTTTAGATATATGACATTTTTTATTTTCAAATAACTTTAGACTCATAGAAAAGTTACAGAAATAGGACAAAATCCCTGTGTACTATTCACTCAGTTTTGCTAATGTTAATATCTTACATAATGATAGTATGATTATCAAAAATAAGAAATTAGCCTTGATCTAATACTTTAGACTATAGACCTTTTTCTTTTCCAGGATGCATTCCAAGATTCTCCATTACATTTAGTTGTTATGCCTTCCTAATTTCCTTGTTCCTCGGTCTTTTTGCTTTAATAACATGACACTTTTGAGGATATTAGATAGTATGTTGTAGAATATCCTTCAACCTAGGTTAGTCCTGAGTTTCTTATGATTAGATCGAGGTTATAACTTGGGGATAGAAATACCATACAAGTAATGTATGGTAGTCCCTTCCCTCTGCATCATGATAATACATATGTCTTGTTATTGGTGAGGTCAACCTTGATTGTTTTGTTAAGGTAATGTCTGCTTGGTTATTCTCCTGTAAAGGTACTTATTTTCTCTTTATAATTAATAGGTGTTTTGGGGCAGATTGCACATTGATGCAATATGCTATTTTGATACTTTGTCCAATATTTTGGCATCTGGTAATGGATATTGGCTGAATTCTTTTGGTGGTTTTCTATTTCCCTTAGTTGTTGCCTCTTGGCCTTTGGTCTAAGATCAAGTGTCATATGTATTTCCTCTATTCCTTCTACATTCATTAATGGAAATTCTTTTTCTAATTTTTAAAAATTTTATGTATTTATTTTTTAAATATTTATTATTTTATGTGTATGAGTCTATTTCCTGCGTGTATGTCAGTGAACCCCTGTCATGAAATGCCATGGAGGTCAGAAGAGGCCTTTGGACTCCCTTGGAACTGGAGTTAAGGACGGTTCGTAGCCGCCATGTGGGTGCTGGGAATCGAACCCGGGTCCTCTGCAAGAGCAGTCAGTGCTCTTCTGTGCCCCCCCCCCAAACCCCAAGCACTCTGCCATACATGTTGAGTCCTATTCATTCAGGTGTTTGTACCCAAATGTCCTTCAGTGTAAATGCATCCACTGGAGTCTAGTCAGCCCATCCAGTGGTTGTATGTAAGTCATACTCTCCCTCACCCAGCAGCAATCAGTCTCAAATAGTTCTCTAGTGTTGACCTGCCACCTATTTCTTACCTCCCCTATGGGCCCTTGTTTAATTGATGCCATTGCTGCCATAGGCTCATATGAGCAAGCTTCCATTGGCCTGGAAGCCTCCACCTCCCTGTGTTCATGAACCAGCCCTGGCTCTTACAATCTTTCTGCCTCCTCTTCTACAATGGTCTCGTGGGTGGGTGAGGTTCCATACAGGAGTCCCATCCTGCACTCTACAGTCTTTTATTCTCCAAAACTTGTCCAGTTGAGGCCTTCTGTGTGTAATGCACTTTGATGTACATGGAAGCCTCACTGGTGAGAGTTGAGGGGTGTATTTTCTTAATTGCTGATTGATGTGAGAGGGCACAGCTCGCTCTGGTGGTGCTGTCTCTGGGTAGGTGGGCTTGGACTGTATAAGAAAGGTAGCTGAGCAAGCCCAGCAGACAAAAGCCAGTAAGCAGTGCTCTTCTATGAGTCTGAGTTCCTGTGTCCAGGTTCCTGCCTGGTGATGGTTTGTGACTTGGGAGTTGTAAGGTGCAATAAACTCTTCCCTCCTTGAGTTGCTTTGGATCATGGTGTTTATCACCGCAACAGAAAAAGCTAACTGGAACAAGGTATTGGTTATTGAACCTAGGGCCTTATACCTTATATACATGCTAAGTAGGTGTTCTGCCACTGAGCTATATCCCTCCCCTCTTCTATATGTTTTGTCTTGTAGGCCATGCATTCATTTAATTCAGCTTATCATGAGCCATATATATTGAAAATACAGAAGTGAATAAGTGCTGGGTATGGTGGGTGCAGGCCTTAATCCCAACATCATGTGGGAGGCAGAGGCAGGAGGATTACCATAAATTTGAGGCCAGTCTGGTTTATCTAGCATGTTCCAGGCCAGCTAGGACTACATAGGAAGACCCCCACTTTTTTTTTTAATTAAAAGAAGTAAATGATCAGAATCTGGTTATGCAGTTGAAGAAGACATATATAAACAACTGATATGGTATAAGTAATATAAACAATATAAATGCTCTAAGTACTAATATCTAGGGAAAGGAATGGTTTCATGTGAAAGTGATGCCTATGAAGATAATTTTGAGACAAGTCCAGAGTAATTCACAAAAAGGAATATAAGGAAGAACATACTAGATTGAAGGAATAGTATATAAAAAGATCTAGAGATATAAAGTAATGCAGCATGTCTGAAGAGAGCTTATCAACTCCACAATTTGTGTTAGTTTTTAATATATGAAAGTTGTGAAAGAACCCAATGTGTATCACAGTTATGTTTTAACTGTAAGTGATGGGTGCCATTACCGTATTTTAGATATTGCAGTTGTAGGTAGAATTGTGTGTTACTCAACTCTGTAGCTTGCATTAGACAGATTAGAAGGGGAAGAGACTGGACAAAAGGAGAGTAGTTAAGCTATTGTGATTCTCCACTTAACTATTTTTATGCTCATGAGGGAATTGTTTTTTGCTAAACTATATAACTATGTATAAATTAGGCATTGAATTTAAATCTTTAAAATTATTTGCAAAATATTTATGTAGGATATTATATATATATAAGTGGTTTTAATAGCTGATTCAATTCTTATATGTATTTCAGTTAAACTAATTATTTTCTCATCCTGGTTTCAGATAACAAAATTGTTAGCTGTAAAATCAGAGGCTGTTCATGCTCAGTCACCACTGTCCAAATTCAGAGGCTCAGAATGCTGGGATCTCCCTTTGGAGGGGGTAAATAAAATTAATGTTTTAAATATATAGTTTTATTTGATATGTTTAAAATATTTTAGTAAGTCAGTTTTTATTTTTTATGTGGATTCGAACTTCAAAGGGGGGAATGTCACAGGAACCCCCAGAACAAAGAAAAAGAAATGCAGCATGGTCTCTGCCTGAATGCACATACATAGTTCTGTGTGCCATGACCTTGTAGCACAGAGTAACCAATCTGTTTTGTATTGCCATGTATGGGAGACAAAGACACTGAACTGTACATGGAATATTAAACGGTTAAGCTTTCCTTTGTTCAGGGCCCTACCTTACGGAACTGTCTCTCCCCGGGACTGTACTGGTACAATACTGCTTCTTATTTAGTCTTTGGATTCAGTTTTCTATTTACATTACCTACTACAGAGTCATAGCTCGGGAATAGTGAGCTGTCCTTCAGGGTCATTAATGCTAGCCACACCTCCAGAATGTTCTTTAGAAATCTACTTCCAAATTCTGGCCCTCCCTCAGGACCATCCTTTTCAAGGGTGGGTCATAGATGCTGGCCTTGATGCTCTTTAAGGCCTGGGTTGCAAATTCTGGTCCTTGGGAAGTCCTTTCTGATTTGGGGCTTGCTGCTTGGAACCTGAGTCTATGTTCTCCTGCAGACTCTGCCCCTTGACCATGTTTCTTTCTCACTGAGTACTTCATGGTTCTGATGCAGTTTTCCCCGCAATAGTCTAGAAGTATTCTGTACTATAGTCCTGTGACATTTGCTCTGAATTTCCTGAATGCACTTTATGGAGTGTCTGGGGTCTCTAAGCCACCAGCTCAGCAGCATTGGTTGGTTGGTTGGTTGGTTATTTATTTGTTTATTGTGTGTATGAAGTTTGTGTATGTGCCACATATCTGGAAATCAACTTTGGGTTTCATTCCTTAGGTGCTGTCTACCTTTTTGTTGTTGTTGTTTTTACTAAGAGAGAGTCTCACTATGTATCCCTGACTGACCTGAAACTTGCTATGTAGATCAGGCTGGCTTCACAGAGATCTGCCTACCTTTGCCTCCTGATTGTTGGGATTAGAGGCATGTGCCACTATGCCTAGTACCTTATTGTGTTTTGAGACAGGGTCTCTGATTCTGGAACTTGCTGATTAGGTAAGACTGGTTTAGTGAGCCTGAAGGATACACATGGCTCTGCTTCCCTGGCTCTGGGATTACCAGTGCACGCCACCACGCCTTGCTTTTTTTTACATGAGTTTTGGGGATTGCATTAGTCACTTTTCTGTTGCTCTGATAGAAACACTGATCAAAGGAACTTATAAAAGAAAGAGTTTATTTAGGTTTGTGGTTCCAAAGGGGCAAGAGTTCATCATGGCAGGGAGGCATGGTGGGAGAGTGGCTGGAGGATGAGCAGAAGCTAGGCTATATATCTTCAAGTTGGTACAGGAAGCAAGAGAGCAACTTGAGATCTGGCAAGGCTTAAGAACTCTCCAAGCCCACCCCCAGTGACCTGCTTCCTCTAGCATAGCCATACCTTCTAAGATCTCCTAAAACAGCACCACCAACGGGGGACAAAAATGTCCAAATACTTGGAGTTTATGGGGGGACATTCTCATTCAAACCATCACAGGGATCAAACTCAAGTCCTGTTAGCTATGGCAATAACTACCATTGTAGTTTCTAATTTCTAATATATTGTATTCCTGATATCTATCTATAATTCATTTATTTAGCACCAAAAGTGTAGTTTTAAAAAATATTATTTTTATTTTATGTGTATGAGTGTATTGTCTGCATGTATGTGAGTGCACCCATGTTGTGCAATGCCATGGAGGTCAGAAGAGGGCTTCAGATTCCGCTGGAACTGGAGTTAAGGATGGTTTGTAGCCACCATGTGGGTGCTGGGAATCGAACCCAGGTCCTCTGCAAGAGCAGTCAGTGCTCTGAACTGCTAAGACATCTCTCCAGCCCTGAGAAGTGTAGTTTTAAACTATTTTACTTGCTCCAGCTTTTCAGTGTTAGGTATGAAATTCAGATGTCTCTAGACTTCAGCTATTCTTCTGGTGTTTGGGAGCTTGAATTAGTTTAGTTTTTTTTCTTTTATTCATTATTTTTATTTTTATGTATATGAGTGTATTGACTGCATGTTTATACGTGCACCTGTTTTATGCAATGCACACAGAGGTCAGAAGAGGGTGTCAGATCCTCTGGAACAGGAGTTACAGATGGTTGTTAGTGATCATGTGGGTGCTGAGAATTTAACCCTGTCCTTAGAAAGAGCAACCAGTGCTTTTAATCACTGAGCCATCTCTCCAGCCCCTAGTTATTTATTTATTTTGTTTTTTTGGATACAGTCTCCCTGTATCCCCAGCTGTCCTGGAACTTGCTGTGTAGACCAGGCTGACCTTGAACTTACAAAGATACCCCTGCCTCTGCCTCCCGATTGCTGGGATTCATTTAGTATAGTGCCAAGACTTGTTCATGTTGTAGCATGCTTCAGAATCTCCTTCCTCTTTTAAAAAATGTTGTAACTTTTAAATATTTTTGGTTCTTTGAAACAGAGTCTTACTGTGTAGCCAGGCTGGCCTTGAACTTGTGACCCTCTTGCCTCAGCCTCCTTAAATCCTGGGTTTATAGGCATATGCCACCAAACCTAGATATTTCCTTATACTGTAAAGTTGAATATTTAAATGTATATATGTTTACAAATACGTATATACTTCATTTTGTTTAGCCATTCATTGATTGATGCCCGTTTGAGTTGATTCCATCTTTTGACTATTGTGAACAATGTTACTATACACAGATGTACAAATGTCTTTTAATGTCTTTTTATAGATGAAGACAATCTTTAAAAGTTAATACATATTGATGTTTGCACATTTTTTTTTTGAGACAGGGTCTCTTTGTAGTCCCAGCTGGCCTGGACTTGCTGTGTAGACCAGGTTGGACTTGAACTCATAGAGATCTGCTTGCCTCTGTCTCCCAAGTGCTGGGATTAAAGGCATGTGCCACCACGCCTGGTGGTGATTGTACATCTCTTTTGGTCTTTTTGAGACAGGGTCTCCCTGTGGCCCCAGCTGGCCTGGAACTCACTATGTAGACCAGACTGGCCTTGAACTCACTGAGATCCACCTACAGAGATCCACCTGCCTCTGCCTCTTGAGTTCTGGGATTAAAAGCGTGTGCCACCATGCCCAGTGATTCTACATCTTATGAAGTAGCTATTAATGACTGAGGAGATGGCTTAGTGAGCAAAAGTCCTTCCTGTGCAAATGTAAGGACCTGAGTTCAATCTCCAGTACCATGTAAAAGCAGGCTGTGTTGCATGCCTGTAATTCCAACTCTGGGGGGACAGACAGGAGGATACCTGGAATTCGCTGGCCAGCCAGTCTAGCCAAAATACTAAGCCCCAGGTTCAGTAAGAGAGATCCTATTTGTTGCAACAATGGTGACAGCATGCACAAGACCCATGCTGACTCAATCAGACAGAAAGCCAGGATAGAACTGGGTAAATGGGCAGCAGGCCCAAACCTTAGCCGAGAAACTATTGGCAACTGATTACTGCTGGCCAAGGGAGAATAGATCTTTAAGTAGAGACTCTAGATAAGCCAACTAGATTCCAGTGGATAAACTTGCACTGAGGGACATAAGTGTACAAATGCTTAACTGGATAGATCTTAGCATGTGTGACAGTATGCATGAAATCTGGTGGTGGGGGACTGTGGAGGATGGGGGAGGGTGTCTAAATTTGATTAAGATCTATTATATGAAGTGCACAAAAATTCAATGAAAATATACATAAAGAGAGAGAGATGCCAGGTGTGATGGTGCATGCCTTTAATTCTAGCACTCAGGAGGTAGAGGCAGGGCGATTTCTGTGAGTTCTAGGCCAGCCTGGTCTACATAGAGTTCCAGGCTAGCTAGGGCTGCAAGGAGACCCTGTCTCAAAAAAACCAAAATAATAAATACATAAGTAAAGATCCTGTCTCAAAAATAAGGTGGAGCATCATAGAGAAAGATAGGCAGCATTAACCTCTGACTTCCACACATGCACTCATGGTTGTGCACATTCATATACCAACCCCCCCTCACAAAATAAAGTAGCTACTGTTATGTCCATTTTCAAATAAAGAAATAAAGGCCTAAAGAATAGAATAGATTCATGCTATATATTAATCATATTTTCTATTTTTTGTTTTTGGAATAGAGTCATATGTAGTCCAGGATAACCTCTAACTCACTATGTAGATGAGGCTGGCCTTGAAGTCCTGATCTTCCTGCCTCTACCTCCCAGAGCTAGGATTACAGGCATGTGCCACCATGCCAGCAAATAAATCAAGTTTTCATTTTTTTCTAGTCATATGAAATTTAAACCCTAATAGTCACATGAAATCTAAACCCCAATGAGGATCCAGGCTGTTTCCCATGCAGCAATTCATAAAGAACAAATTTTAGTCCTAGCTAATGGTTATAAATGGAGTTACCACAGAGACATAGGCCTTATTTAATGTGGCATGCAATAATTTTGCTGCATCATATAACATTTCAAAATTAAGTAATTAAAATACACATACAAACCATTGTGCATGCCAGGCAAGTGATCTACCACTGGAGCTACTTCTAACCTGTCATTTCTGCCTTTTAACATATATTTTATTTATTATTTTTATGTGTATGAGTGTATTGCCTGCATGTATAAAAGAGCACCCGTGTTGTGCAGTGCCACAGAGGTCAGGAGAGGGCATCAGATTCCCCTGGAACTGGAGTTAAGGACAGTTCGTAGCTGCCATGTGGGTGCTGGGAATTGAACCTGGGTCCTCTGCAAGAGCAGTCAGTCATCGCTCCAGCCCCTATTACTGCCTTTTAACACAGCTGAAATTTGGTTTTCTTTTTTTTTTTGGGGGGGGGTCATCTTTCTGAGGCAAGGTCTCCCTGTAGCGCCAGCCGGCCTGGATCTTGCAGAGATCCGCCTGCCTCTGCCTCCTGAGTGCTGGGAGTAAAGGTATGTGCTACCACACCAGGCAAATTAAAAACAAAAAAAATTTTTTTTTATGTGTATGAGTGTGTTGCCTGCATGTATGTAAGTGCACCCGTGTCTTGCAATGCCTGAGGAGGGCAGAAGAGGACATCGGATCCCCTGGAACTGGAGTTAATGGATATCCGCCATGTGGTTGCTGGGTATTGAACCCAGGTCCTCTGCAAGACCAGCCATTGCTCTTAACCACTGAGCCATTTGCTCTTAACCACTGAGCCATTTCTCCAGCCTGAACATAACTGAAATTTTTATTGTTATTTAGCCTTTATTATTTTTAAGTTATCTTTTACATTATTTATTCATAATCCTAAAGCTAAAATGTCTTACTATTTTTGGATTTTCTTTCAATACTGGCAAAAAATTCTTTAGATTGCATTTATTTTTCTCTGTGAGCTACTAAGAATTTAGCTGGTTATTTTGAATTTCTAAATAACAGGACTTTTTGACAAAAAAAGAAAAAAATACTTTTTATTATAAAAAATCTTCTATCATATTGATGTATTTATTATTATTTTTTTTTCCTAGTGGACAAGAAGCCTAAGAAATAAAGTCATCTCTCTAGACCATAAAAATAAAAAAGATATCCGTGGGCATCCTGTGACTTCTAAGGCACCACCAGAAAGGTATGTGTGATGTAGGATGGTCTTATACTACATGTAAATATTGTGACCAGGAATGATTCACTGAAGCTCTTTGGGTCTCAGTTAACATGCTTAAACTAGAAAGGTTGCATTCAGTGGCCTTAAGGTTCCTTCTCATTTGAACTTTCCATGATTATAAATTATCTTTGCACCTTGCTTTTGTGCATTTGGTACATCTTGATAAGCTTTAGGTGATAATAAAAAATAATTATAGACTATTTTGTCATTAGTGGTATAAAGCGTGCTCAATTTAGCAAGTAGTATTCTGTAGTCATAAATTAGCAAATTATAGACATAGTGAAATTAAATATCCAGAGGATTCAAACAACAGTTATTTTTAGAAGCAATGTAGAACATTTCAGGGTTGGACATTTACCCATGGTTAGAAAGTTGTTATTTTAGTAGAAGATACTGAATTTTCTCTTTCAACATGATGAATGAGAAAAAAAAAATAGGAAAGTAAAAATTACAGTTATTAGGTCCTACATACTTGGAAGACTCATTAGAGTTCTTAATAGAGTACTTCTGTACACTACTGATTCTTTTTGCTTCCTTTTAAGGAAATTGTAGAAAATATAAAAATATATCGGTGATATGATAGCAAACCTCTGGACAGTTTATTATAGTATGGGTAAATTGTGGATAAGAAAGCTTAATATAAGCCAGGCTTTGTGATGCAGGCCTATTTGGGATGCCAAGGCACGAGAATTGCAAGTTCAAGTCAGCCTGGACAACTTGGACTCTACTCTGTGTCTCAAAATAAGAAAAAGTAAAAACTGGGCTGTGGATATAGCTTAGTAGTAGAGCACTTGCTTAATAGCATGTGTGAGGTCTTATGTTCAGCCCCTAGTACCAGAGGAATAAAACTTGATGGATGCAGTGATGACTTCTTGATCTTCAGAACAAGCACAAACTCAGTTGTGGACTTGGTGACTGTTAAGATTATAGAAAAATTATATTTGAGGACTCATTTCTTTTGTTTAAAAACTGTCAAGCTATACTTATGGAAAGGTTTGTATTTATAAGACTGGTTCATTTGATGGTAAAAAGATACTGGAATCCTTGCATGATTCAAGTCTCATTTTCTTGAGAGCATGCTTACAAAGTGGTGAGGACTAGTTCTTTGAAGATAGCAGTCAAAAACTGGTATAGCATATTATTACTTTAAAACTGCATTTTGTGCCAGGTGTGGTGTTGCACACCTTTAGTCCCAGCACTTGGGAGGCAGAGGCAGGTGGATCTCTTTGAGTTCAAGGCTAGTCTGATCTATATAGTGAGTTCCAGGATAGCTGGGACTACAGGGAGACCCTGTCTCAAAAAGACAAAAACAAAAATAAAAACAAAAATTGCATTTTGTTTTCCTGGCATTATCTCTAATATCAGTTTGTTTTATGCTAAATTAACATCTTAGCATAAAATTTCTCGACCTTGAATTTATGACATCTGACTTCTGTTCCAGAGTTAATGGTATCGAAGTATGTTATCAGTATTAGCACTATAAAGTTCATTTAATATTCTGTTAGTAACAGAGTTAAAGGATAAAAATATTTTAAAGTTCAATATTAGTAGATACTGACTAAAAATCATATGTATGGTAAAACGTAATATATTAGTGCATAAAATGCCTCAAGGACAATGAAATCTTTTATTAACTTGTAGAGTCATGTAGATGGTAGGTAAAAAGTATAATCAATTTTATATCCAACTCAGTCAGCCAGCTTTGGAATAATGTAATCTGATTTTTGACAAAGATCTAAAATCTAGAGGACTTTGCATTATTTCAGAATTTGTGACTGAAGTGAGACTTTATGTTTTAATATCTGTATTATATTCAAATTCACAAATTAAAATGTTCATAAAATGTGCCTGCATGTCATTTTAGGGGATGGACATGAGGTAGAATATTTAAAAGTATTAAAAAAATCTTTAGTGTTGAAAGAATCTGAAGCAATTTCTAGTGACTTAGGTTAGGAAGGAAGGAGTTTCTCCTTTGTACTTTGAACTAGATGTTTTTCCTACTTTTACTGAGATTCTCAGCTTTTGATTCTAACCTTTTTCTAAATCTTCTGTTACATTGAAGTTAAATAAAATATTCAGAATTCTTAGCATATTTTGCAGAGCTGTAAGCAAATACTTGAAAAAGAAACCACTTAATGGGAAGAATTTGGTTCATGATTTCAGATATTTCAGTAGATCAATGGTCCTTGGCTCCATTGAGTCTAGGCTTGTGGTGAAGCAGTATCATGGTGGTGGGAGAATGTGGCAGAGATGAACATTCACCTCATGGTGGATAGGAGGCAGAGAGGAGTAGCAACAAAAAGAGCCAGGGCAAGACAGACCCTCCAAGAGCATGCTACTAGGGGCCAACTTCCTCCAACCAGGCCCCACCTTTTATAGTTCATCACTTCAGAATAGTTTATTCAGATTTTGAGTTCATCAGTGGAGCAAACCATTCATAAGGTTAGTCTTTGTTATCTAATTGTCCCTGGGAAATCCTCCCAGGCATCTGTCTCCCTAACCTCCCAGAGGTTTGCTTTACTAATTGTCCTAGGCCTTTTTCAATCTAATCCACTTGACAGTGAAAGTTAACCATTACAAGTCCACTCCTTGTTAACTTGATGCTCAAACACATCTCCTTAAACCATAACACTCCACCCTTGTCCTCCAAAAGGTTCATGTCCATCTCTGTGACCCTTCAGAGTAGTAAAAGTTTCAACATTGTTCTAAAGTCCAAATTCAAAGTATTCTCTGGGACTCAAGGGAAACTCTTAGCTGTGAGTCCCTGTAGAACAAAAAGCAAGTTACATACTTCCAGAATACATTATGGCAGAATAAATATTCCTAGTTCAAATGGAAGGAGTAAGGGAGGCCTAGGTGTGGTGGTGCACGCCTTTAATCCCAGTACTTGGGAGGCAGAGGTAGTCCTGGTACTTGGGAGGCAGATCTCTGGGAGTTCCAGGTCAGCTGGGGCTACAGGGAGACCCTGTCTCAAAAAGACAAAATAACAACAACAACAACAACAACAACAACAAAACCCCTCAAAACAAAACAAAATACAAAGAAAACAAAAGAATAGTAAGGGAGAAGGGCCCAGCAGAGCAGACATTACATATTGGCATTCCATGTCCAGCATCTGGAACATGTGGTTGCTTCCAATATGATTTTGCAGCCTTGCTGTTTAGAGCCTACATGGCCTTTCTACTTTGATGGTTCTAGTTATTGCCTGTGGCTTTCATCTACAGATGTTCCATGTTCCAGTGATCTAGGGTTTCCATTGTAGCTTAGGCCTCAAACCCTCACAAGTTCCTGCAGTGCTCTTATGGGCTTCCTGTGGGGATTTTGACTTTGCCACCTATTCCTGCCCTTTTAGAACCTCCTTTGAAAACTGGGCCAGAGCCTCCATGACCCAATAACTCTTGTATTCTCTATGCCTGAAAAACCAGCCTTTTGTGGATGACACCAAAGTATTGCACCAGATTGAATAGTTCCCCAGTCCTTAGGCCATGGCCTCTTGAGTGCGTGGGCACTAAGCTTGATGAAATGAATCCTGGGTAAACATCCTAGGGTGCCCTGTGTAAGCAGGATGATCCAGAGGTGCTCTCCAGGAAACTTTCAAGTGAGTTTGCTCTTTCATATCTATGAACCTGTGATGGATAGGTCTGGCCAATTCCTGAGATTCTCTCAAGGCATCTTTCTTATTGTCTTTAGGAAAAGTATCTTTTTAAATGGAGCTAACCCCTTGTTTATTATTATTTTATTTATTTATTTATTTACTTATTAATTTATTTATGTTAGATATTGGACCTAGGGCTTGTGCATGTTATACAGCTGCTCTTACCACTGAGCTATATCCTCAGCCCTCCTTTTACTTGAAAAATTTTGACCAGGCTGGGCCTGAATTCACTCCGTAGTCCAGGCAGGGCTTTAACTTCTAACCACCCTGCCTCAGGCTCCTGAGTAGCTTATTGAAATTTTAATTTCCAGCGTTTGCTTTATTTTTCTTCAGTATTTCTACCTCTTTATTGAATTCCATTTTCATATTCTCCATTGACTTCCTTTTTTCATTCAGCTTTTAATATTCTCTTAGAATTCATTCAGGAGTTTGCATCCCCTTTAATTTCTTTGAACACATTATACTGCTTTCGAATTCTTTGGAATTTTTTTTCTTTTTTTTTCTTTTTTGGCCTTTTTGAGACAGGGTCTCCCTGTAGCCCCAGCTGATCCAGAACTCGCTATGTAGACCAGGATGGCCTGGACTCATTGGTTGAATTTTTAAAAATTAAATTTAAATTTGGGCCTGGTGGTGCAAGCCTTTAGTTCCAGCACTCAGGAGGTAGAGGCAGGCGGGTCTTTGTGAGTTCAAGGCCAGCAAGATCTACATATTGAGTTCCAGGCCTGCTGGGGCTACAGGGAGACCCTGTCTCAAAAAGACCAAAAAAATTTTTTTTTTAAATTTAAGTCATCTTTATCCTCTCAGTGAAGTGCTTACAATGTGCTGGTAGGACTCAGTTATAATACAGTTGAGGTGTCATTTTCCTCTTCTATTCAAGTCACCAGGCTCAATCCTCAGTGCTCCCCTGAAAACTGACTATAGTCTACAAAAGCTTTTGCTATCCAGGGATAGACCTAGTAAGGAAATACAGTGATAGTCAACTAAAAGACAGTCTCCACTTAAGTGCCAGTTATTTTAGGAAGTGCAAGGACACTGATAGTTCTGTGTGTATTAATATATTTGTTACTGTTTATATGAGTAGAAAGGAAAATAGAAGGAAAAAAAACAGTATTGGGTTGATAGAAAGCATAGGAAGGAATCATATAGAAGGGGGAATAGTGGGAACACAAAAGGGGCAAGATGTGGGAGTTATGACTAAAGGTAACGAAATGATGAAAGAGGTAAGAATATATAGTCAGAGCTGGGCATGGTGGTGTGTACCTTTAATCTCCAGCACTGGGGAGGCAGAGACAGGGGGATCTCTGAATTT